ACTGGTTTGCAAAATTTCGTTCTGGCAATTTCGATATTGAAGATGCACCACATTCTGGAAGGCCAGTTGAAGCTGATGAAGACAAAATAAAGGCATTGATTGAAGCAAATTGCCGAATAACAACATGAGAAATTGGAGATTAAATTTATCCAATTCAATCATTTATGATCACTTGAAACGACTTGGTTTTGTTTCAAAGCTCAATATATGGGTTCCACATTCTTAAAGAAAGAGATTTGCTCCATCACATTAACATCTGTGATTTGCTTCTCAAACATCAAGAAAATGACCCATTTTTGAAGCGAATCATAACTGGTGATGAGAAATGGATTGTATACAACAATGTTGAACACAAGTGATCACGGAGTAGAAAAGATGAGCTGGCTCAAAGCATTTCCGATTATTCGTAAAAAAAAAAAATGATGCTCTGTTTGGTGGGTTTTTTTTAGTTTCTACCAGACAATTCCACAATTGATTCGAAAGTCTATTGCCATCAACTGGACAGATTGAGTGAAATCATCAAACAGAAAAGGTGTAGTGTTTCATCATGATAATGCCAGACATCACACAAGTTTGCTAACTCATCATAAGCTGTTACAGCTTGGATGAGATGTGCTGCCACATCCATCATATTCACCAGATCTGGCACCCTTGGATTATTACTTATTTATCTTATACATGTATTTATATATGTATAGTTTATAATATTTTTATTTTTATACATGTATATACATTTTGTTATATTTCTTCCATTAATTTTGTATTTAAATTTGTTCCATTGTATTTATAGTCAAATTTATATATTTTAGAATATGTTTATTTTTCTCTTTTAACCTGAGGATGGCCAATAAATTTGGCTGAAAACATTAGTTGCATTTTTTAATAAATTTCTCAGCAACTTAAGGTGTTGTATTGTGGTTTTTTTATATAGTTATTACTTTCGATAAGAGATGGTGCCTGACATCACCCTCTAATTTCTTATCATGTAATTTCTAATTATTAATTATAGCATAATATTGTCCAATTAATTTGGCTTATGGTTGGATAATTAATGTTAGTTATGAATTTCTTTTAGGCACAAGGCCTACATAAGGTTGGTGAATTTTATTTTAATTCATTACATCACTTTTGTACTTAGTAATACTGTCACTGCAATATAAGTAATATACAAATTAAATATCATCATAATTTTGTTGAAATACTTTACAAATCTAATTGAAGTGCTTCACAAGCCACCACTCCCAAGCTATGCAGGTTGGTCATATGGATTGCTGTGTGCTATTCTGTAACTAAACAATGAAGCCTGAATGGTCTGATGTTTGATTCATGGGAGGAAGATTGCTGAATGGCTTTTAGATAAGCATTGCTGTTATATTTCTAATTAACAATCTTAACTTTGAGATTTCCTGTTAAAGTGACAATTCTTAAAATTATAACACTTTCTCCATGCTGCTGATGCTTCAAATGTTGAACAATCACATATGAAAGCAAATGAATACAAATTGTCCATGCCATTTTACAAAAACAATCACAGAAGAAACAAAAAAATAAGGCACTATCCATGAAGATTCATAAAGTCATCTCTGATTCTATCTGGCCTTAAATCCACAGTCTGAAGGTTAAACAGCAATAAATATGGATACAACATCAAACACAACAAAATAACACAATACTTATTATCTCATCTCATGTACAGTATATAGATAACAAAACTCTAAGTATTCACCCAAATACAGCTAAATCTTCTATTAGAAGTTACACACATTTATGCCACTGACATTTTAATGGAGGTTGTCCTAAACAAATGAAAAACAACTTCTTAAACTAATCTCATAATAAAGTATTAATCAATATAAAGTTTACCAACCTTATGAAGATCTTGCATGTATGAAAGCATTAATAACAGTTTTCATACTAAGACCATCTTCAGGTAGATTTTTTCCAAAATGGAATCTTTCTGGTTCTGTCATTCTAGATTAAGACTCTCCAACATATTCAAATTTGAATGTTTCTCTTTAAATTTTTCTTAAATATTCAATAGGCAATGCATAGACTGTGAATAGACACACCCAATTGGATATTTAACACGTTCACGGCGTTACAAGGCACATGTGACTCATATGGACATGTCTAGTTAGGGCTACAGACATAATTGCTTGTTTTTCCGTGGGGCGGCGCATATGTTTTGATAACATAATTCTATAAACATCATACTTGATATATCGATATTATTTTATTGGGTGCAATAAAATATATTAATTTAATAGTACGAGGCACGGGGTGACTCATGCCGCCCTTTATTAGAATAGACAATGAGTCACCTATAACACCCAGCAGCTGCCTAAACGTTTATCTACCGATGCCGTGAACGTGTTAAGAAAAATTTAAAGAGAAAAACAAATTCAAATTTGAATATGTTGAGTCTTCTACACATTCTAGTCTCAAGTCCCACTTTAAGCTGATTTCTTTTCTTCCAAAGAAATCAGCCTTGAGAAATATTCTAAATAATTATAAAATTATTAATTTAATTATAATTATTAAATTTAATAAGAGATGGCTCCTAACATCTGCCTCTAGTGACAAATTATTTGTCAGCTAGTTGGAGAAATTCATCAACAATTAAATAAAAACATCAAAAAAATGTTTGAGAAAAAACATGTTAGAATGGCAGTTACAATATCTAGTACAGACAGTGTGTGTCACTTTCTGGAAGCTGCCACCCCTTGCCTGCCATCACATGGCATGATGTTTATTTTTAGTCATACATGGTACTGAGCTTTATAGAAAGTTTCTGATTAGTTTATTTGATAGATGAATGTTAAATTTAATTTTCCATTAAAGAAAATAATACAGTAGTTTATGAAACTACTTTATCAAAACCCCATTTGAGTTAAACAGTTTGATTTAAAATGTAAATCACTATGCTGGACGATTGGGGAAAGAAAATGACTGAGTTATCCCAGTTTGGGTTAACCAGATTCCATTGTATTTCATTTGTCATATGATGTATATTATATTACCATTGTATATTTTCTTATGTCATTGGTACAATATATTTTTAAAAAATTAACTATTTTGAATGTAAAGTAAAATATTTTTATTCCATTTTATTGTAAATACCTGAAGATAAAGATTGTAATAGTATCCAAAGCACTTGTTAAGAACAAATCATATATATTTTGCAACTATATTATTTTTCTTGGTGAAAAAAACAACAAACACCGAAAGGCCTCTTTAAAATACATATATACCACTTAAATAGAAACTTTCTATATTGTATTAATGTTAGAATGAAATTTTTAAGCATGAAATTACATGCCTATAATCAGTCTTACTTTGGTGTTAATTATTTTAAACTATCAGAATTGAATGTAAAAATAAATATAATCAACAGTATTGAGTGCATAATTATCATCATTTATTATGATTAAGTACAGAACTAAAACATGTAAGTTAAATTACTGTATATGTTTTAATGTCCAGGGCTGTGGAGTCGGAATTGTGGAGTTTTGGTGTTTTAGCCAGAGTCGGAGTCATCAAAAAATCCTCAGACTCCTTTTTACTTACCAACTTGTTATGTATAGAAAACAGAAAAGTATTGGAATCGTGTCAGATTTGACCCTCTAAGTCTTTATTGCAAATCTACATGTTTGGAGACCTCCTGAACCCCCAAAAAAGTTAATAAAAGGGGAAAAATTAGCACGCGTGTGTGCATTGGCATCTAATTTGTTTAATTTCTTTATTTTCCATTCTGAGATATTGTTTAATATCTCAGAATGGAAAATAAAGAAAGTTTAAGAAACATTTCGTTTCTTAAACTTTACCCATTTAAAGTTTAAGAATGGGTAAAGTTTAAGAAACGAAATGTGGCACTGTAGCTTGCGTATAAAGGGGCATTAATACTATTAAATTTTGGTTCTTAATTAAAGGTCGACAAGGTGAAGACATAAAAGGGGTCATGTGTCATATATCTTAATGAATATTTTGCATGTTATTAGCATTCAAAATTTAAAAAAATAAAATAAAACTCCTCTCTACCCTCAAAGTAAGCTTTTTTGTCATTTTATAATAGGCAAGAACATCATCTTAATGGGTTTTACTGTACTAAGATGTTAGAATGTATATAGGGACATGATTTAGTTCAACCACTTTGACACTTAATAACTAACTCCTGTGTTAAACCATCTTACTCCAATTCTGACAACTCTGACCACAGAAATTATTAGGCTTCAAACAGAGTGAACAAAATCGTTCCCCCCACACAGTCTAATTTCCACACATATAGGAAAAAAAATCTCGAATCTTTTGCATATCTCAAAATTTCAAGGTGTCCTGAGTCCAAAAATGTAAAAATTTGGGAAGGGACATTTTTTGACTGAGCACTATACTTTCCCTCTGTTATATATAACAGCCGGAAAAGTAAAAATTATCAAATATATATTTATATATTGACTATGTCATTACTTAGAGGAGTCTTTTAGCTTTAGAATAAAAGGTTTCTGCATCCTATCTTTATTAGAACTCTATTTATTGAATCTTTTATTCTGAGGTCATGTGATGACATCAGAATTTCCGGGTCTCTTTCAGTAACAAGTCCGCCCCTGGTCAGAGTCAGAGTTGGAGTCGGTAGATTTTTACGTGACTCCACAGCCCTGAAGATTACTAAAAATCTCCAAATTTATAAGTAATACAAAGAAAACTTTCTATTTCAACCAAATAAAAATATTTTAAAAGATTATTTATTTTATTTATGATGACAAGCTTAAAACTTGAAAATGTTCGATATTTTGTTTGATCAGTTTATTTTCCTTATAAAGCACTTTACATAGTTGTAATACTTTTACATAGTGTTAACTGAAGTAAAATAACATATAATAACATAACTTAACATTAAGTTATCATATCAGTTATTTTACTTCAGTTATAAAAATGAATTTTTGTCAAGTTAATTATAACAAGATTAAGTTATGGCTAAAGAATTTCTAAATGTTTAATTTCATAAATGGCAATTTAATGTGAGAACTAATTTTAAAATTTTCTGTTTTGATAGAGGATGGAAATTAAACATCAGCTCCCAGCCAGCATGGCAAAATTCAGGATTTTCTGAATTATTTCATTTCCAGAATAGGCTCACAAGGTAAATAAATTTTATTTAATAATTAATAAAGCTTGTTATGTTCTTAACAAATAACTTTTTAAGAAAGTCTTATTTTAAAAAAAATTTGATTGAAATAAAAATTATTGCATTGGAACCTAAAACATTATCCTAATCAAGGTATTTTGATGTTGCTTTTCAATAAAGAAATTTGGAAACTAATGAATTTTTATTTGTTGTAGCTATTCTTAATTTGAAATGTTTCTTTTTGCATTTATTTTTAATGTGAATATAAGTCCATTTTCACTTATCATTTATTAAATATTAATTAACCAGAATACTTGAATTAATAAGCTGAAAGGTATTTTTAGTAAAAGTTGTATATACTTTTCTGCTATTATATATAAGAGGAAAAGTATGGCACTTAAATCAAAAAATGACTCCTCAAGATTTTTACATTTTTGGATTTGAGACCTTGAAACATTGAGAAATGTAGAAAAATTTGGGAGTATTTTCTAGATTTATGAATGTTAGTGTTTGCGTGTGGCACAATTTTGTTTGCCCACTTTGAAGCTTAACTCCTGTGTCTTTTGTCATATTTCAATAGATATGACATGGAATTTACTTTATATGAAATTGTAAATGCTAATAAAAAGTTTATCCATACCCTCAAAATTAAGCTTTTTGCCATTTTATAATAATTAATTATATAAAGTTTTTTAATAAAATATCATAACAAATAATGCCAAATGCAGTTTTAAATGTTGTTGCCAGGAAAGTTGTGCAACTTATTGCTGGACTTCTTTTTATTCTGCTATCTCAATCCTCCACTTAACTTATTTAAAGTAATCTGATCTGATTACATCAAATCAATAAAAATAAAAACAAGTAGATAAAAAAATAATATATGGAAAAATAAAATGAGCAATATAGTTTTGCTTGTTAAAATACTGAATTTTTTACTTTTCTCAATATTATTAATTTTTAATGTGGAGATATTTATATATTATATAACCATAAACTCCATTATTTTTTACTTGGTTCAAACAATCTTAAACATTGTGTTGATCTCTACCAGAACAATGTCAAGTCCTTAAGTTTTACTCCAGTATTGTTGCAGTATAGGTCTTTTAAAACCTAGATGTTTTGATTTTTAAAGTTATTTCCAGGTATAATGCTTCTATTGCCATTATTTTCTTTCTGCTTTTCTAAAAATATCCAAATCATTCCGATAGATATTTTATTTTTATTTGGCATTATTATTAATTATTAATTGATGATGATAATTAAATTGTGCTGTGAACCTTTGACTCCATTGTCACATAGTTTGAATATTTGAAACTTTCTGGAAAGTTATTTTTTAAAAAAATTGATACATCACAGTTTGAACATATCCTAGCATTCAAAGTTTATTAAAAATACTTTTTTTTATCAATTTAGTATTAAAATAAAAGTGCAAGTTTAGTATAACTTTATCTTTATTATAGAGCCTGTTGTTTCATTTCTTATCATATAATAGTTGTAGTATAACAACAGAAGCTTATAAAATTTTTATATAAATATACAGTAATACCTCGACTTACGCAAACCCAGAGTTACGCGATTTTCAAATCTCGTCGATTCATCTTTTGTTTGAGCGCCACGCAACTCTTGATTACTCACTCCCCCACACTATTGTTCAGATTACATGTTCAGACGTGTCGTGCGGAATAGACACATAGCTACAATTTATTTTGTGTATTTATTTCTGTGTTTGTTATATCTACGGAGACTCGAGAAACTCTATGTGGTGATTTCTTGTCACCGGAAACGAATCAAAAGACGAGATAAGATTAACGAGAACATTTATTAGCTTACATACATTCGACTTGGATTTTAGACAAATTGTGAAATTATACCCCAACTTACGCGAATTCAACTTACGCGGTTATCGCTCGGTCCCACCTATCGCGTAAGTTCGGGGTATTACTGTATTGCAAATTTATATAAACAACTGAAGAAGTAAAACACTATTCAAAGATTCTCTTTTTTAGTTTTTTTCAACAATTTCAAAGTTTCTAAAACCAGAAAGCATAAGAAATGGAGGTATTGAAACTCTCCAAATATAATGGGACACAAAAAGTCTTATTTATTAAAGTGATGATTATATACAAGACTTGCTATAACAAGTAGTTAAATTGTGAAAATGTGAATGACTTGAGTATGTTATGTACGAATATAAAAAAAATGTCTTGCACAAATATAAAAAAATTTTCATATTTTTATGGCCAACTTAAATATAAACATGAACATTATAAACTAATTCCTCAGTGTAGTTTATTAGGATTGTTAGAAGACTCACCATATAAATATGTAACTTAATGATTGTGACAATGCCAGGTCAAATTAGATACAGTCGACCCCCCTATAATTACGGTCCCTATAATTACGATTCCTATAAAACTACGAAAAAATATACGTATTTTGGAAATGTTGAGTTGGATTAGTGTAGAATCGATTAATTTTATGGAAGAAAACCTTTCAATCAGCCGTAGTCCGTAAANTAAATTTATCAGTTTCTAACATCTTTTCAATGAAGAGGTTTTGTTTATCATGACCTCTTGTCATTCTTTATAAAATAATTTTAAAAACAACCATTTTACTTGTAGCTTCAGATTTTGCAGAAGGTAAATCGATTAACTGCAAGTAAATTGGTAAGATGATGATGCTAAATCAGATTATATTTACAGAGTATAATAATTGGTTTTGCCATTAACAAATTTTTAAAAAATTCATTTAAAAATTACATTATATATTTTGATTTCTTTCAGTATCATGAGGAATTCTTCCAATAAGGTTTTTTAATTCATTTTAACCATTTGTGATCAATTATTTTACATTAAAATCTAAAATTATATTTAGCAAATTTGTATACCAAAAATTCATAACACACATATATATATATTTAATATTTTTAGAATATGCAACTTATTTATATTTTTTGGTTTAGATGGGCAAAATTAAGATTTGCTATGGTGCCTCATACAATGGTATTAGAGCCATTATCTGAATGTATGTTGTTGGGCATTCTTGCTGCATGGGCTACTAATTTTCTCTTCCAATGGGATGCAGTTGTTGTCTGCTTAGTACACATTCTTATCTGGTTTTTCCTCGATTGGATATTACTTTCTATAATTCAGGTAGGATACTTAATTTAAATTATTGCATATCCAACTTTTTTAAATAGTAAAAAAACTAATTTTATAAATAATAGTTTTGAATAATAAAGTATATATTTCTATAAAGAAAAGCACTAATTGATTGATTTACTGTTAAAACTTTTATTTAAAGGAAAAAGTTCAGACATGAATCATATAAATATAAAATATTTTTTATATTAAATATATATTTAAATTATAGCATAATAATTAGTATTGATATTTTAACATTTCAGAATAGTTCACTTCCATTTAGTAAAACAGACTTTGTCATAACATGGATGTTTCGTGAATGTTGTGCGATATATATCTTTGTGAAAGCTTTGTGGCAACCTAATGTCAGGTGGAGAACAGGTGTTTATCGTTTACGATGGGGAGGTTCTGTAGAAGAAATAAAACCAATGTTGTAGTCTCACCGCTGTGCGGAAAGGAAAATTTTTTTTATTAAGACTGTTGTCAGTCTTGAATACTGTGATCCATTTGGGACCTCAAACCACAGTGCAGAAACTTTTATCTATGCCTTGCTGGTAAAAGGTATAGGAAATAGCCAATGTTTTNTTTTTTTTTGCAGTTTTCTTGAGTGATACACACATTAATAAATTAAAAAAGAAATAAATATATTTTCTTTTAAAAAAATATTTTCGATAATTTATGGTTTATTTCAATTTGAAAAATTTTCTTGTTTATTAGGCTATTTATTCCTGTTTTTAAATTAAATATGACTTTGCATTTTTTCAATTATCTTACATTTTTATAGTAAACAGACATTAAAATTTAAGTAAAATTTAAATATATTTTATAAGAAACAGTATTTCATTATTCGCGATTAAACTTTTTGAGAAGATTTTTCGATAAAGAACGAAACATCAATTCAAAATGTTTGTGAAAAATAAAAACAATTCGAACTATTTAATCTTCTTCTTTGCTCTGATAGGAAGAAGATTGAACTTCAATCATTCAGTTAAATGGAACCTAGAAAATACGAAATTGAACCGAAACAGCGATATAAGGAAATTCAAACAAAATAGACAACAATCTACTAACTCTGAAAACAAAACTTGTGCAACATTCCTTTTCATGATTTCTACCTTTAAAATTTGAATTAAGAAATTTCAATTCCGTAATTAATATCTATTTTCTGTCTTCAAATCAAAATAATCAAGCAATTAATTTGTGTCTATAGACAGGTAAGTATTAAGATTTGTGTCTTAATTCTTCATGTCATTTAATATCATTTCTAATCAGAATTTCAGTCTCTTTTAAATGTTATTTTATTTAAGTATACTTTCAATTATTTCTATGAAGAAAATAATTAAAATGCTAAATTTTTTTTTAAATTTTACATTATAATCTTTAGTGAACAATTTGAAAAATTATTTTGTACAGAGAAATAATAAAGCTGCAAACAATATCTATTCTGACAAAGAAAATGCTAATTTTTAAATATTTCGAACACTGATATTTCTTTGTTCTGAAGTCGAAAATTTAGATTATTTAAAAGAAAAAAAAAATAGTTAAATTCCTTCATTTAATATTAATAACATCAATAATTATCGAACTTTGATAAGAGTTAAAATACATCATCTGAGAAGTAGAATATTAAACTTATTTATCCATAATTGCTGAATTCAGATAAAATTAAATGATGAATCATATCGATAATAAAATAAACTGTTTACAATAACTTAAATTTTAATAATATATTTCTAATTTGTAATTTTTAATGTAACGAGAAATAATTTTTGGCCAAAAGCATCAGAATATAATTTAATATTTAACTGTTCAATTCTGAAAGTTTTAAATTATATTATAAACATACTGTTACTACAAACAGACAGTACAGTTTACTTTATTCAAGTGCTACTTATATAAAGGGAGTTCAAAGTTCTTATACATAGTTATTTGCTACAGTTCATTGGTGTTAAGTCTGCAATAAATATTAATGGCTTGTTTGATGAGAATTGATTAAAATATTATCTTATTATTCAATGTTTTTCTAAGGTTTTCGAATATTTATATCAAATAAACTCTTTTATATTTATAAAAATAAGAATTGAAAGATTAAACTTAAATGTGTTTTTCTGAATTTTATTTGCTTATTAACAGTTTATTAACGAAATGAACATTCTATTTTACTGGATTTAAGATTTTTTAATATTAATTTCAATGAAAGAATTATCATCATTAATTGGACACATTCTATAAATAAATTGCAAAGATATTGCAAATTTGTTTAGCCTTAAATGAATATTCGAATATAATTATTTTGGGTTGAAATATGTTTTGTGATGGCTCATAAAAAGATGAGAACAAACACGTTAAAACTACTCCAATCTGTTTTAAAATGTTCAGCGAAGTAGACATGGATGATTGAAGGTTCAAGCTATACAATTTTCACAAGACCTTAAATATAAAAGAAATCACCATCATATTTATAGTTAATTCCAAAGCTATTCTGTAATACATCTTTTATGAACTTTATATAAAACTATTGATTATTGATATTTTAACATTTCAGAATAGTTCACTTCCATTTAGTAAAACAGACTTTGTCATAACATGGATGTTTCGTGAATGTTGTGCGATATATATCTTTGTGAAAGCTTTGTGGCAACCTAATGTCAGGTGGAGAACAGGTGTTTATCGTTTACGATGGGGAGGTTCTGTAGAAGAAATAAAACCAATGTTGTAGTCTCACCGCTGTGCGGAAAGGAAAATTTTTTTTATTAAGACTGTTGTCAGTCTTGAATACTGTGATCCATTTGGGACCTCAAACCACAGTGCAGAAACTTTTATCTATGCCTTGCTGGTAAAAGGTATAGGAAATAGCCAATGTTTTTACAACTGTCCAAAAGCAACCTAAAAGAACATTTTATGTATTTATTTTGATCATCAGAACTTAAAAATGTTGGTGCTGGAAAAGCAAAAATTACATCACAAAATTACATCTCATTGAATTAGCAGAACATGGAGACATCATGATTCCCTTAAATGATAAATATATGTATGTGTGTTGTTTATTTTCTTAAGTTATCTAAACTAATTTGTTGATATTTTACTCAGGTATCATCTGAAATTTTCGTGTTAAATTAATACGTTAATTTTTTTTAGAACTTGTAGTGTATAAATTATTTCAGCTATATTTGAAAGAAAAAAATACAAATCATAGAATCAGTGATAAACTGCTATTCTTTTGAATTCAAGACACTACCTAGATCAAATCATGATTATAAAATAAGAGTTCTAATTAATTTAATTTTTCTTGGTTTATATAGAATGATTGAAGTGTCGTAAGGTAAGAACTCATAGAAGATTCAAATAGACATTAATGAGGTTATCTGTAATGGTTATTACTCAGAGTTCAAGATGTAAAAATAAACTTTTCACTCAATTCTTTAGTTGATTTTACTACTAAATCCATATTTTTCAAAAAATTCTAAGGCCTATATATATATAAACATTTTAAAAATTATTAAATCAAATCTTGAACTTAAACTAATTCTAAATAATATATTTAATTAGAAAAACTCAATTTTACATAAAACTATTGTTCTTTCAAGTCACAAACCAAATATAAGCTAATTCTTTGGCAAATATTTTAAATTTTTCATACATACAAGACTATTTGCAAAAATACAAATAAATTGTTAGTTTTACAATTAGCTTAAATATAATTTTTGAATAAAAATATACTGTTAATATTAAAATTGGAATGAGGAAATATCTTATTTTTTTATTATTGTTTTAGATATTTGTTCTATATTGCTTATTTATTATTGAATTTCTGTAACTGTTTTAAAGATTTGTTATTCTACAGAAGTTTAGAATTTTAGTTAAAATTTAGAAAAAAATATTCTTCCAGTTTAATTTTTTTCACCTTGTATAAACTTAGAAAAACCATAATAATAACTGAAAAATTCATCTTAATCTAACCTGTTTTATATATAAATTATATTTTTTATAATTTAATTTGACAGACTTAACATTTGAAATACTTTAAAAATTAAATAATTTTATATATTTTGGTTACAAATTTATTTTGAAAAAATGTTTATTGTAATTTGCTGTTAGTTTATTTTCTGTTTTTCATTTATTGATTTCATTATTAGAATACTTTATATGTGTAAAAGTCATCAAACTAATAGGAATTTGTCACTTTTTAAACTAATCAGTGCCATAAATTGCAGTTAAGTTTTAGCTCTAATGGTAAGAATAATTTTGTTTTTCCTTAATTGCAGTGAGATGATATTGGTGCTTTTTCATTTAACAGAGTAATTTCTTTAATTATTGTAATATAGCAGCTTTTGTTGTTAATATTTATATACTTTATTTCATACTTAACTTTTATTCAATAACATTATTTAAAATGAATTTAAGACAAAAGATATATTTTTTGCAAATTGTCTCTTGTTTTATTTATGTGAAATGTTTACAGAATATTTAAATTAATTTTTAGCATTACAGATAGCTAATCAAGATTTTAACGAAACAATGTATATTAATTTTGTTATTATTTATATACCAAAGAATTGACCAAATATTGTGTATTTTATAGGAATCAACAATGGTAATTCTTATATGGTATGAATATGATTTGTAATTGTAAATTATTGCTTATAGTGCACTCCATTGTGAAATTGAGTTTGCTTATTCTTCCTCCATTTTCATCGAGACGACGATGGGTTGTGACATTAGTTCCTGATGCCGAGCATTCAGTTTATTATAAAGTCCATATTAGTAAAATATTATTCCCCAGTTAGAGTAAGCAGTAAGCTGTGATATCCAATTCATTAGTCCATCCATTCCATTCTGCATCTGGGACCCATGCTGAGGTATTAAATTTTTTACATACATATATGTATATAATGTAAACATATGCTCTGGACACATGCATTCAAGAAATAGTATTACATTTATTCACAGTGGGTTGCAGTATAAAGTGTTCTTTCAGTATCATAAAATGAATATTTGCACTGTTTTATAATCCTCATTAAAAAGATCTCTGATTTTAAGTATTGGAGATATGCAGATTGATGTAAATAAATATATACTGGTCTGGTTTGGAAAACAGATGTGATCTTTGTCATATTTTTCACAAAACTCGACATAAGTTTGAAATTGTGCCACGTCTAGAATCTTGTATAAAATAAATGTAAAGACATTTAGCAAGGTATATATTTTTAAATTGTTTGAAATCTAAATATTGGAAAAATGTCTAATTAGTAATAATTAAAAAATTACTTAAAAAATGAAAACTTCATCCACTTTTTAATGTACCTCAAATAAAATGACATTTTAAAAATTTAGTTGATTTTTTTTTAAATTAAAAAAAAAAAGAAATACTGTATAATTTTGATAAAATTTCTTTAAAATTGTTTTTGAGATTTCAATCTTCACAGTTATACATTGAAAAGTAGTTGAAGTTTTTTTATGTATGTATGTTATGTATGTATTAATTGAAAATTCAACATGTGAACAAATTTCAAAGTGAATTGTGTTTTGAAAGAAGATTGATCTGTTGATGGTAAAGAATAATGTTTATGCAGCATTTTAGTGTGAAGTATTAAAAATCAATATAATGTTGCCATTGTGATTTTTGAATTTATGCCTCAGTTATATGAGGCGCTACAGAACTCGTGAGTATATGCTGTACGTTAAACATTTTTTGGTAATTGTCGAATGTGTTTATGCACGTTTTCATTGTGCCTGCTCACAATAGATGTTCCTTATTTAAAAAAGACAAAAAAAGAGAAATAAACAATTTAAAAATTTTTGATGATGTATTTTTTTTAAGTAGTGTTTTTTAATTATTATAATAATTGTTTCACATAATACTATGAAATCACTTACTGAATTTTTATAAAATTTTTATATTTTGAATCAGTGAAATTTATTAAATAAAAGGACAAAAATATTCCCGAAAGTCCGTAATTTTTATCTGGCTAATCTATAATATTCAAACAAATTAAAATTACATTTGAAAATTGAATAATAAATAATAATCTTGAATTTTTTTCTTTGACATTCTTATTCTACTTATTCTAATAATGCATTTATCAATTGTCAATTAGTTATGAAGTCATAAAACAATTTTAATAGCATCATAATATATATTTTATATAAAAAAATAAACATTTTTCAAAAAATATCAATTCAATAGTTAAATTTGTATAATTAATAATTTTAAAAATTCTGGAAAAACTAATGTGGATATTTAAATTCTTATAACCCATGTTAATATTAAAACTTTTGAAAATGAGTTAATATTATAGAAAGGTGAATGACTTTTTTTGGTTTTATCACAATATAATTTATATTTCTTGAAATAACAAAAAAATTTATTTTCTTTAATTAAAAGATATGATACAAACAATTTAAGCTTATAGAAAAAAATATATAATGGTTGCAAAATCGGAAATTATAATTATTTTATTCAAATTCTGTCAGCTTTTTCATATCCCTATCTGAAAATTATAATACTGATAATTGTTTCATAGAAATATAAACAATGAAAATGTGAATTTAAATATAATTTTTATATATTTATTGAGTCTGCGGTTATATAATGTAATTTTTCACGTGTTGTAATTTAATATACTGTACTCTACATTTATCATTCAAATTTACAACCAATAGGAATAAACAAATCTCTGCCCCTTAATATTTTTTTTATATAGTCTATACCAGTGTTTCTCAACATCTAACGAATCGTCGCCCCCTTCAACGTAGTATCGCCCCCCTTCAATAAAACCATTACCTATTATCTCCCCCTTCACTTCAAAATTCCGATGCCGAGAACCAAGACTAACGCCAAATTCGTACTGCATTGAATACACTAGTGACTAGTATAATGTTATTTGTTTAATTATTGTACGATATAACGAATAAAATATCTAATTATTCTTAATATAATGTTTTACTATATCGCCCAGAAAATTGTTTTTCGCTCCCCAAAATATAAATTGTTACTAATCGCCCCCTCAACATGGAAAAACGCCCACATGGGGGCGAAATCGCCCCCGTTGAGAAACACTGGTCTATACTTTTCAATTTCAAATTAAGGGGAAAAATTAATATGAAATAATATACAGTATAAACAATTAATTTAGAAATCGACGTTTTACTTTTTAATTTTCTGAAATGCTTAAATCGATTAAAGATTAAAACGGGCGATTTATTATTATTATTATTATTAATTTGATTAAAATGCTGTTATTTGTAATTAAAAATATTAAAATTCTTTAGAAGAGTACAGAAATTTTAAAACAATCGTTTTATTATAAATGTTTAATCCAAAAATATTTGGTAAATTTTTAAAATGAAAAATTCGTTATATATTTAGCAAGAAGGGGGACGTTGAAAAAAGGTTAAATTATCTAAATGTTTCTAATTACTATTCATTCTTTAAGAATTACATTCTATTGGATATTAAGTTTTTTTCTGATAAATCGATAAACAGATTTGTTACCAAGCAATAAATTTACTCGGCGATTAGAAATTGTCGTTGCCATAACAACAAAAATACATTAATGGAAACAATGACATGTATTTTTTAGTTAAGTTCTTATTTTTAATATATATATATATATATTATTCTTTGCAATAATAGTTTCAAAACTCTAAAATATTCAAAATTTAAACCAATATTGCCAAATAATTCAATCCTTCCAGTTTAAAAAAATTTTTTTTTCAAATTTTAAACTGGTTAAAATAATATATTAAGACGTGTAATTTCATTTTGTGTTTTACGCCATTTAAATACAGATAAAATCAAATGTTACTAGATAAATTTAAATATCCAAAATTTTGGAATAAAAATAATTAGAAATTAAAATATATATACTGTATATAAAAGCGTGGATTTGTTTTGTGCTGCCATCTAGCGAGAATATTAAAAATAATCGTAATTATTTTAATTCGTCGAATAAATAAATCGTATTCAAAAACTTAATACTGGTTATTTTAATTTAAAAAATTTATTTTTACCTTATTAATAAATTCTCGTCGAACAAACAATTTAATAATAATTTTGTTCTACGTTATCATACCGAAAGCTAGTGCCATCTGGATTTCAAAAAAAAAAATATATATATATATATATGTGTGTGTGTAAATTTTTGAATTCATTTATTAAAAATCCATAAATTTTCAATAAAAAAATTATTGCGTATATCATTTATAATAAAATTTTATATAAATTAAAATATTTTCCATTTAGCGAAATTGTCTTTTGTCTTGCACAATAGTTATAAAGTTCGATTATTGTTGGAAAACGTAACTTTATCCATTTCTTAATAAATGTGTGCTATAGAAGTTTGCATACCGTCAATTCCAAAGGGCATAAACGTGTTCGATGTGAATAGTTCAAAAGACAAAGTGGAGTAATAGTATATCTAATTAGAACTATTCAATAAATAGTTATAAATAGAAAGTTATCGATATTAATAAAAAATAATAATAATAATAAAAGAAATTGGCCATTCTTCAAAATTTAATAATTACTAGAAAGCAATTAGACATTAGCATAATATTTTATAATTAAAATATATTATTTGATTGAACGTATTATGCATTATCGTCATTAACACCTTGTTGTAATGTCATCAATGTGCAAATTTGAATACATTTTAAACTGGTTTATGCCGTAACGTTCTTAGTTTTGAACGAAATCAATCTGCATTTTGAATAATGCCGATCGACAGTTTTAAACAGTGTTAATGTATTACGAATTCCAATGTTAATTGATCTAAATTTCAAACTCTATTGGTATACAAGTTTAATTGGTACTTAATCTACAATTTTAAATGCCTAATCTACGCTTTCCGATGTTATCGATCCTCGATTTTGAAGCCTTGCACTCCGATTTTGATCATCGATTTTTAACATTGAATTGTGCCTCAAATATAATAACTTTGCC